AGGAACATTTAGGTTAAGGCGCCCTCCCTGACACACTCCATGCAACGTGGTTAGAGGGAGGCCTTCCAGCTGAACGCCCCCAGACCCAGAGCCCTCAGAGGGACCCCCAGGATGGGACTCTTTGAGGGCCGTTTGACTAAGACGTTCACACCAAAGGACTCCCCATCCCAGATTGAGACCCATTAGAGTAACTCTCAAAATGAAACACTCTTGGAAAATCCCCCTCATGAGATACTTACAGTTAGGCTCTTTGGGGCTGGCCAAGGCAGCCAGCCCTAGAAGGAGATCTGGGTGTGGCATCAGGAGGGGGCCCAGAAAGTGTGGCTTGGGGCCCTCCCGGACTTCCTAACCCGCACAGATCCCCTTGCTCTCTCCCTTTTCCCCTCAGGCAGGGTTGGGGGGATCTGGGAACATCAAGAAATGAGGGGAAATGAGGGGGCTTTAGGGGGAAGTGCTGGTAGACCTCGGGGCATGGCAGCAAGTCATTGACCAGGGTCCGTACTAGTCCTAGTTATGATTGCCATTTGGGGTGAGTACCCACAATCCAGGTCATCCCTGGTACTGCATAGTGGGGCGGGTGGGCGGCTTTCCATGCTGTTGCTGGTTAGGAAAGGGATAGGGCTCCGAGGAGGTACTGAGGATCAAGTTGCTCAACCAGTTTGGATAGGTGGGGCCTTGTAGAGGTGGGGCCTTGTATGTTCGGGCTGGGCTGGGCTGGGGAGCCGCTGGACTAGGGGAGCTGAAGGGAAGTCCAGACAACACATCCTCCAGTGGGGCCCAGCTCCTTCCTCCTGATGAGTCCCCATTCATCTGTCAGCCACTTGGAAGCCTATGGGCTGGGTCTTGGAGTCACTATCCAAATGGGCTCTGGTAAACAGGGAGGGAGGGGAGGAGCAGAGAGGGAGATAAATCAAAAGAGAGAGACATCAAAGTACAGCTGGGAGACTTCTCTCAACCCACAGATCCCTTATTCCCTCGCTACCTCAGATCCTGCCTTGATCAGCCTCTGCTGCTTCTTTCTTGCTTATGACAGTCTGCCCACTCCCCTGCCCTGCAATTGCTGCAGACCCTCCCACCTCTCAGGCTTGACCCTATAGCATTTCCAGGCTCACCCTTTTTCCCTCACCAACCTTTCCTGTCTCCCCACAACTCAGCCTGCCGCTCTGGGGCCTGGGGCACCCCAGCCCCAGCCCTCCCCAGTTCTCTCCCAGTGGCAGGGCAGAGGGCGGGATTTCAGCTGGGCCAAAGGAGGGCGGGGCCACATTACTGGCTGACAGCCGGAGCTGCGGCAAGAGCAGGGGTGATTTGGGGATGAGGCCCAGCCCCTGCCTCCCCTCCCTTCCCCCAGTTATAAGAGCTGAGCTCAGGTGAGCTGCCTCCTTCAGTCCTGTCTCAGCGGCTGCCAGCAGGTAAGGAAAATCAGGGCTTTTCAAATGGGCTTCCCCTGTTGGGAGGGCACACTTGGCCTGTCCTACTCTAGTCTGGCAGGGAAAGGGCAGGGAACCAGGTCTGGAAACCAGTGTGTGTGTTTGGGGCAAAAGTGAGTGGTAGGAGGAGGTGGGAGGGTTGAGGCTAAGCTGAGGTCTAAGATACTCTCTACGTGGGGCTGTGACCTTAACTTCTGGCGTCCTGACAGGGACTGGGCCTTGTGTGGGGTTGGCTCTGCCCCCTGGACAAAGCACAGCCTATCTGAGGTCTCAAAGAGGGTAGTTGAGAAATGCTTACCAACTCCCTTACCCCCCACCACAGATCATGAGCCATCGGCCCCTCCAGGGCAGGCCATAGGACAGCAAAATTCACCAAAGGACCAAGCACAGCAGACAGCATGGGGCAGTGCCGGTCGGCCAATGCCGAGGTGGGCCATTCTTTTCTGGCCTTTCTCCTGCTTCTTTCCTCCAGGCTGAGGGTCTCTGTTCCTTCGCTTACTTCTTCCCTGTCACTATGGCTTGCCCTGTACTCTAGACCCTGCTGGGGAGACCTGCCTCCTCTCCCTGGTGCCCACACAAGGTGATGCAGATGGAGCCCTCCTGGGAAGAGGATGCCCGTCCTCATGCTGGGACCTGCCCTGCCTATGGGATGGGGGTGGCTGGAGGAAGCCTTGCTCAACCTGTGGCTTAGGGCAGAGGCCAGTGGGGGTGAGGGGAGCTGGGTACTGGCTTCTGGAGTGGGTGGGAGCCCATGTGCCTTCCAGCTGCCCTTTGACTCTTTGGCTTTGTCAGGCTCCTGGGGGAGGTGGGGTGTCACATGGCTGCTGGAGCCTCTCTGATGTGGGTGCTGTGTCTGCCTGCAGGATGCCCAGGAATTCAGTGACGTGGAGAGGGCCATCGAAACCCTCATCAAGAACTTCCATCAGTACTCTGCGGAGGGCGGGAAGGAGACACTCACGGCTGCCGAGCTCCGGAACCTGGTCACCCAACAGCTGCCCCACCTCATGCCGGTACTGAGGGAGTGGACCCTGCCCCAGACAGTGCCCTGAGTCCCCAAGCAAGTGCTCCTCGCCCCGACAAGCCCCACCCACACCGTCTGGCGTTGCCACCCTAGCCCTGCCCCCTTGGCAGAGCCTCTGTGCCAGGCCAGCTCTGGTCCTGCTTCCTGCCCCAGGGCAGGGTGGTGTGGGAAGATTGGGAGGTGCTGCCTCACGGAACTGCCATGTCTTTCCTCCCTTAGAGCAACTGTGGACTAGAAGAGAAAATTGCTGACTTGGGCAACTGCAACGAATCTAAATTGGAATTTGGGAGTTTCTGGGAACTGATTGGAGAAGCAGCCAAGAGTGTGAAGATGGAAAGCCCGGTTCCGGGGAGTTGAGAAACTTCCCCTGGAATTCTTGGGGGGATGTTGGGAAAGGGATCCTTAGAGACGATGGGCCTGGAAATAGAACTCCTCTCTCCACCACCACCCCATTCCTCTGTTGGCCCTGCCTCACCTCTGCAAGGGTCAGGTTCTTAATGGCCCTGGTGGTGGGGATGGTGTCTCTGTTCATGTCATCCATGGGAGCTCGTGCAGCTAACGGGCCTGGGAGTGCCCACCAGCGAGGGGCTCAGGACTGGTTGGGGCTAGGATGGGTAAGGATGATGTGAGGGCCAGGTCATCGGGGAAGCGGGTAAGGGTAGAGAGGAGCAGGGCTGTGGGCCTGGGAATAGGGCTAGATATTTGGTACTAACAAGCGTCTCTAAGAACCTACCCCATCCTAACCTCTTCCCCAACCACAAGTAGTCTCTGTCTAATGCTATTCCTGTATCCAGCTCTGCCCCAGCCTCTCCCAAAGACTGTCCCTGGGCTAAGATGGGAAGAGAGATCAGGGTGGGAGAGGCTTTGGGAGTAAGAGGACCAACTGGGTACTTGGGCATTTACAGAATGATGGTTGTTTTGTATCATTTGATTTAATAAAAAAATAAAAAAAGGAAAGTAAATGATATTGTCTTGATTGGACACTACCTCCAGGGTCCATGGGTCAGGGAGAGTGGAGGTGAACCACAGAGGCATTGGGTGGGGTGGGCGGTTTGAGAGTGCCTGGGGGCTCTCTTTTCCTCATTGATTTGGACTGAGGTTGGTACCAGACCCCAAAGCGGGGAGCTGGGGCACTCTCTGAGGGATGGGCTCCTCTGTCAGGGGTCAGCGCTCAGATGAGAGCGGAGGCTTGTGCACACATTGCAGTCAAGGACCGGAGCCCATGTTTGCTGGAGCCTGGACGTTAATGGCAAGGACAATGAGCTAACACAGGCTCAGATCCTGGTTCTACGACTCACTATCTTTGGAACTTTGGGCAGGCGCTGCGTGAATGCGTTTCCTTGTCCATAAAATGGGAATATTAATGACATTTCCCTTAAGGGAAATGCTAGATGATAATGCAAGGCATCATGTAAAGCGCTCAGCAGCCAGCCTGCCACACAGGGAGTGCACAGTGAGCAGAAGCCCTGCCAGGGGAGGAAGGAAGGAGTCCCCTCTGACTTCAGCCACTGCCTCCAGGGAGACAAGTCAAACTGGCCAGTTGCCTTGGGCATCTTGGGGGAACAGAAAAGGGTATGTTCAGAGGACTCCTCCACTGTGCAAGGGGGTGGAGTGATTAATGCTCCTGAATTGGAGCTGAATCGGTAGTGGGGCGACCTGGTGGGCTGAATTGGAGAGGGGAGACCAGGGAACCATCTCTGCCCTAAGTGCCTCTGACTTGCACCCAAAGAAATTATCTATTTTTTTCTGAAATCCCAAGAGCAGGGAAGTTTCCGGAGTCAGTCAGACTGGCCTGAAAATGCTACCTGAATTTTTCCTTTGGGGTCTCTGGAACGAGGGTGCAGAAGGACTCTGAAACCGGGGTGCGAAGGGTAGCTGACAGTCATTCCCTTCCTTTCCCACCTGTAGGTTCTGCTGGGTGGGTGGGGTTGGGGGAGTGCCAGCTTCCACCACTCCCTCAGGGTGGGGGTGGAAGGGTGTTAAAAAAGGTGTGTATCCCTTTAACGAGGGCCCAACCCCAGGGCCAAGTCAAGAAGGAGCTCAGTCGCTAACTACCTCCCCACCGAGCCAGCTCAGCCAGGCAGGCCTGGAGGGAGTGGGACAGATTCTGGGAGTGCAGCGGGGAGGAGTCCTGGCTGGGCTGAGCTGGGGAGCTGCTTGGCAGTGCCAGAGCCCAGGCCCCAGAGCCCTACTGGAGAGGAGGTGGACGCAGGAGGCAGGTGAGTGCCCCAGGCTTGACTTGGGAGGTCGGGGCTGCCGAGAGGCCCCACAGGCCTGGAGGCCAGCAGAGGGGGCGATGAAGGGGCCTGGGGAGGGGGGCCTGCCCGGGACTAGGCAGGAAGATTTCGTTAATTGTTAACTTTCCTCTTAGGCCTCTTTGCAATTTGGAGAGTTCTGGTGGGGTTGGGGGCTGGAGACGCCTTCTGAGGGGTGTATGGGCTGACGAGACCCCTTCTCTGGCCCAGCAGCTGTCTGGGCTTCTCTCCAGGGGCTGGGCCACTGGTTTGGGAGATTTGCCGCAGCTGCTCAAAGCCTCCCCTAACACAAAAAGGGCGAATGCGGGTTGTCTGGTTGTGGGGAGTTGAGAGGGGTGGTCAGACCTGGACACAGGCCTCACTGGGTCCTGGGTGTTCTGTCTTGGAGGAGCAGGGGAGGACCCCTGGAGCCTGAGAGCTCCAGTAGGGGAGGCCGGGGCTGAGGTGGCTTCTCTTCACCTCAAGACTCCCGAGGGTCTCTGGAAGCAGGGACCCCCTGCTGGGCTCTGAGAGCTGTTCCCTGGGAGGGATCTTGGGGCCCGGTGGGACCTGGGTGAGGCCTGGGGAGCCTGGGAGCTCTGGGAGAGGGGCCAATGGAAACCCCCACAGCTTCTCATCTACCTCAGGACCCAGGCAGGTTCTGGCTTGACTTGCTCTGCTTGCTGGAGCCACCTGCACTTACAGTAGGGTTCCCCTGCCTTGCCCTGTGGAGTGGGGGGTGAGGGCAAGGGTGCTGGGAAAGGAGCCCTGGAGGTTCTGGTGAGCAGTTCAGCCTTTCCTTGCCAGCTAGTAAAGAACTCTCTGAGTGTTGACGAGGCCAGGGTGCTGTGGCGTGTGTGCATGTGTGTGTGTCTCCCCATCAAACTCTTCAAATTTCACTCTAGCAAAAATTTCAGAGAAGTTATTTGCCTCAGCTATTGGCATCAAAAGCACAAGTGGATGGAAGGTGAACGTCATCCAAGCAGAGGGAACTGGGAGTGGCAGTGCCCTTTGCTGTGTGCTTGGAGTGAGCTGGATGCATCCTGTGAGGAGTGGGACAGGGTGGTGGGGGCCCTTACGGAGAGATTAGCTTCTGGTCCAGAACGAGATTAGCTTCTGGTCCAGAACGAGCATGAGAAGAGGTAGCAGACAGCTTTCCAGGGGAGCAAAGCATTCCCAGCCCAGGGCAGATTGTATTTTTTCTGCATATTGAAAGCAGTTGGGGCGAATGAGTGAATGAAGAAGGAAATGAATAAGTGAATGAGTGAGAGGATGAGTAAGTGAATGAATGAGAGTGAATAAATGAGTCTATGAGTGAGTGAATGAGCAGGCCAAGGGTGAATCAATGAGTGGAGGGATTCAGGATATGTGGACAGGACACAGAGTGTCCGATTTAGACTTGAGAGGGCTGGGCTCTAGGGTGTATGGAGACTAAGAGGGACAGGATCCTGCACAGGGACTTATTCTAACACTTGGAAACAATTTAGGACTCCAGAGTATGTGGAGGTGGGAAGAGAAGGTGAATTTTGGAGGGTGTGGCTGCTCTTCAGGTCTCCAGACTTGAAAGCAGTTGAAGAGATGGGGGTGGGGGTGGGGGGGTGGTTAGGAGCCACTTAGAGGTGGGGCTGCAACCTGAGGGTGGAGGGCGGGGCTGGAGTGGCTGAGACCCAGGGGCATGGTGCTGGGCAATTTGGGCTTTTGGGGAAGTCAGCAAGCTGAGCTGAGGTGGGCGGGGTGGTTTGCTCAATGATGAATCAGCCAGGGAGACGACAATGAGAAGATGGGGGAGGGCTGGGGGGCCCTTTGGAACATCAGTGATTCTCCCATTCCCACTTTTTTCAGAAGGCTCCAATGTCCATGTGCATCTTCTCCCCCATCACACACACCCTGCCCTCCACTTAGTTCTCAGGCCAAGATCTACCTGTGGCAAAGTCAACGCAGGACTGACCTGTCAGACCTTTCCTTGGAAGGGGCTGTGACTCCAACCCATGCCTGGGCACCCACTGCCCCTTCCTGGGAGGACGGGGCAGGCAGGAGGCAGTGGGCTCTGTGGCAGCAGAACCTCTCTCCTGGCCTCCATGGTAGGGAGGGAGGAAGGAGGTAATGATACCTGGCTCTCCCACCTGATGTCCTTCAGGAAAGCACTTACCTGGATGGTTATCTGTAACTTTGTCCATTTGACTAGAAGCAAGTGTGTTTGTGAAAGCTCTTGCGCTATCTGGAAGCCTGGGAACTGAAGCCCAGAGCCTCGGAGCTAGCCCTCACGACAACAGGCTGGACAACAGGCTCACTGTCTCCCAGGTGCTCTCCTGAGTCTCACCTTGGCCAGGTAGAGGCTTGGAAGGGAGGATATAAGGAGGAAGGGAGAGAGGAAGCTCCCCTGGTCAGGGAAAGAAAACCCCAGCAGACAAGCGGTGGGAGGGGGTGGACCTGCCCAGGGGAAGGGGCACCGAGTCATGCCACCTCCCAAACTGATTTCTTTCCCTTTCTCTGGATGGCTATTTCTCACTGCATTCCTCACTTAGGGACAAGTGGGATCTAGGATGGTAGAGGCTGGGGGTTTTCTTTGGGCTCTCTCCCTATCCCCAAGGCTTGATTCAGCAAGCACATGCCTTGCTGAATTGGGTTCCACTTTCAGAATCTGTGGGTCAAGGCCTGGGACATTCCTTCCCCAAGGGCAGCAGGAGGTCATGGATTAAAACATTTTTCTCCTCTTAAGTGGTGAATGTTAAGTGTTCTTCCCAAAGTTTTACAAAGATGTAAACATTGAACCACATGGTTATATGTTTACTGGAGTCTAGGGAGAACACATGGTCTCCTGCTGTCTGGGGGCCGTGCCTCATCCTTCTGACCTCTGGCCACAGTATTTGGGCTGACAGGGTGGGGAAAGGCCACAGGGCGGACCTGCCTAGTCTGACCCTGATCCTCCCACCTCTCCTTCCATTGTGTTTCCTTGCCTAGTCCCTCTGGGTCTCCTCCTTCTCTCAGAAAATGTTGTAGGAAGAAAAAGCTCACCGGTGACTGGGGTCTGGATGCCTGGCTTCAGGGCTGAAAGGAGGTGGCATATTTATTTTTACCTGGAGCGAGCAAGGGGAGCCTTGGAGATTAAAAGCTGGGAGGCTGTAGATACAGGATTCGAAACAAAGGGGCCCCCAAACCTCTGGTTTGAAAAACACGATGGTTGCATGTTAGAAACACTATCCACATTGGGAAGAAATTACAGCCTTGGTAGGTAGTGGGCCCAGTGAATGCCAGCTGGGCAGTGAAGAGGGGGAGGGTGCTGAGGGCAGAGGTCAGGGCAGGCTTCCCTGGGGAGGTGCCGTTTGGGCAGGCTTCAGCTAGGTGAGAGGGCCCAGCAATGGGCCCAGGAGGAATCCTGGCCACCAGGGCATGGGAAAGCAGGCGGCAGGGACAGTGTGGCCTGGTGAGGTGGACCTCCCTCTGTGGGCCTCTCAGGGCGGGAGGGTGACTGTCCCTGCCTGGTGTACCTCCCCTTGCCAGGACCCAGAGGGCAGGGCGGCTACAGCTCATTCCTGGGCTTGGGGGCGGGAGGGGAGTCTCATTTGCCCAGTTCACTTGGGGGGGCTCTGGGCATGGGCGGGGCTCAGAGCAGATCCGCCTGCTCCCCTCATATCCTGTTATTCAGCAGGCTGTGTCCGCTTGCAATGTGAGTGTCTTTTGTCCTGGGGTGAGAGGGTGACGTGGTCTTGGCCTTGAGCTAGCTGCTGCTAGCTCTGCACTGTCTCCAACTGGGGCAGGACCAGGCCTCACTCCTCCTTAGGTAATGGGGGGGAGGGCTGCTCTATATTTTGGGCTGGATGTGAGGGAGGGTAGGCTATTGGGGTACGACGGGGCCCTGTATAAGTCTGTCTTGACGGATCAGGACCTTGTCCTTTCCCAGAGAGAGGCAGCCGTGGTCTGAGACCCTGGACTCACTGCCCTGAAACCTGGCTGATGGAATTGGAGGGAGGCAGATCCCTACTTTCTACTTTTTGCCTTGGAGCTGGGGTCTCACCCAGTCCTGGGGCGGATATGGCTCCTGCCTCCAGCTCCTGGCTCATTTTAGCACTTCCTAGTTGTGCCTGCTACCAGGGCTGGGGCTCTGGCTGAGCAGGGGTGGGGCAGGGTGGAAGCCTGGGCCTTTACTCTCCGGCTCTTCCCACAGGAGCCTCTTACTCTCATTGGGACTGGACCAGCCCAGCGCCTGGGGCTGGGGAAGGTCCTGGAGAACCTGTCCAGGCGGTTGAGCTGGGGAGCACCTGGATTAGAGGAACCACATAGTTCTCATTCCAGGCCCCCCCCACCCTGTGTCCCCCTCACCAAGCCACCTCCCAAGAACTGGCTAGTGGGGGGAGGGGTGTGGGGGTGGTGGTGGTGGCCAGGGCTCAGGGTGTGTTTGTGAAGGAGGATGAAGGCAGGGAGGTATGAGGAGATTTGGCCTGTGGCCCTCTTCTCATCCCCCTCTCCTCATTGTTCCCAGGCCCCAGGAGGAGTGAGGCAGTGAGATGGCGGACAGCTACACAGAGCTGGAGAAGGCAGTCGTGGTCTTGGTGGAAAACTTCTACAAATACGTGTCTAAACATAGCCTGGTCAAGAACAAGATCAGCAAGAGCAGCTTCCGCAAGATGCTTCAGAAAGAACTCAATCATATGCTGACGGTAAGATTCTCTTACCCCAGGGCCCTGCTACCCGCCGCCCCTCAAGCCCTTTTCCCTCAAGAGGGCCTTCCCTACTCAGTGAGGCCCTACTCACATTGCCAGATCAGGTGCTAGGACTGTCTGGCGTTGCTTGGGGGCTGAGGGACTGCCACGCTCAGCAGAGCTGACCCCCGGTTCCCCTTCAGGACACCGGGAACAGAAAGGCTGCCGACAAGCTCATCCAGAATCTGGACGCCAACCACGACGGGCGCATCAGCTTCGATGAGTACTGGACCTTGATAGGCGGCATAACGAGCCCCATTGCCAACCTCATCCGCCAGCAGGAGCAGCAGAACAGCAGCTAGAGGACCCCTCCCACCCTCCCTGGAAGCACTGCCCCTCGCTGCCCCTCGTGTTCCCCCCAGCTTTCCTCCTCAGCCTCCTCAGTCACCCAGGCCTCTGTCCAGGCTCCCCTCCAGACCTTCTGACCCTGCAGAGCTGGAGGCAGGGATCTCAGGGCTTCTTTATAAGTATCTCAACGTGGGGGTACCTCCCCAAGGGTCTCAGTCCCTGGAGCCAATAGACCCTAGGGGCCCTTCTGTGAGATTTCCATGCTGTTTGGGGTCCCCAAGAGAATTCCCTCACCTGTTCAGTCCCTGTACCCTTGGGGCATCTGATACTCCTGCCTGATACTGTCTCTCTGTCTCTGGCAACAGCAGTAGAGACCACTCCTCTCTCCCCCATCCCCTCTGCTGGGTGGGGAAGACGTCCAGGGACTCCCCACCGACTGCCTCTGGGTCTGGGAATGAGCTAAGGGGGGTTGAGCCCCCTCCCTCCTGCTCAATCAAAGGATGGCAATAAAAGTTGGATTTGGAGTTTGCATTTGCCTCACCCAGTCCCTTTGTGATATTCATTAAAAACTTTCCACCCCTCAGAGACGCCTGATGCCTTGGCAGTCTTTGCTCTGGGTCCTCAGAGATAGTCTCCAGAGAAACCCCAGGGCCAGAGCAAGACAGCAGCCAGAACTGCAGGTCCCAGCAGGTGCTGTCAGTCCTGGGTCAGCAGCTTCCCTCCTGTGCCACGCGTCACTGTCTCTGGGCCTCTGAGCCCAGACTCCGGTTCATTTTCATCTTCAGGCACGCTGGGCGTCCCATTAAGTCCTCCCTGCAATTCCATGAGAGGGGGCCATGACTCTCAGGCTCAGGAGAAGAGTAGCAGTGAGGCTTCAAGTCCACATATGCAGAGAAGTTTGTGGGAGGGGCAAGAAGGGGTGCAAGGAACACAGGGGACAGAGGCCAGAGTTGGAACTGGGGGAGGGATGAAGGAAGTGACACGCTGTAGATGCTATAGGTGACCACGCCTGCCTCTCTGCATCTGCCCTGCTCCTGCACTGAGAACCCCAACTGGGGGGAGATGCCTGCCCGTGGGGGCCGAGGGACAGAGCATGAAGACTAGCCTGCAGGGCTCTGGGCCAGTGGTTCACCTGGGTCAGCTTAATGTTTTTCAAAAGATGCTCGGGCACAGACTGTCTTATTGGAATCCAGTTGTGGATACTCACGCTTCTAAAACCTATCTGCCTCACAAAGGGCCGATAGTCTTGGTAGCATGCTGATCCCCTTTCCCACTGTTCTTTCACAGTAGCCCTAGTGCAGATACAAGGAAAGCACCCCCTTTGTCTGTCCTGGGGGTTACTATGCTGCCTTGACTGAAGGGTGAATTTACTCACTTTTTTATACAAACACACACACACATATATGTGTGTGTGTGTGTGTGTGTGTGTGTGTGTGTGTGTATAGATATATATAACCATCTCCAAATGGCACATTTATAAATAATAATAAATTACATATAACATTTTGCATACAAGGGGCTCTCTGGTGGTACAAGGGTTAAAGTTTAAGTGCTATCAAGCTATTGGCAGCCACTGCAACCTGAGTTCGATCCCTGGCCAGGGATTGACCCATATGTTGACCCATGTGGCCCAGCATGGGTCCCTCTCCAGTCTTGCCTGCTGCTCCCCTCAGCCTACTCTGCTTCCCACTCTGTCTCTGATGAATTATCTCACTCTTCACCTCTAGCCTACACTCCAGTTCTTGTATGCATAAATAAGTAAAAAAATGAATCTTTAAAAAATTGTATACAAAATACATAACATAAATTTACCCTTTTAACAAATATTAAGTGTATGTACAGTATTTTTAGTTAATACACACATTGTTGTACAGCACATTTCTAGAACTAATTTTCATCTTTCAAAACTGAAACTCTGTACCCACTGAACAATAATTACCCATTCCCTCCCCAGTCAGGTCCTGACACCCACCATTCTTTGTTTTTATGAGTTCAATTACTTTAGATAGCTTATAGAAGCAGAGTCAGTAAGCATCTATCTTTTGAGGCTTGGCTTATTTCACTTAGCATAATGTTCTAAAGGTTCATCCTTGTTACCACGTGAAAGACATTCTTTTTAAAGGCTGCATAATACTCCATCACATATTACATGTTCTTTATATATTCATCTATTGATGACATGTAGAGTGCTTCTACATCTTGGTGCTTATGAATAATGCTACAACAAATGTGGGAATGATAATACTTCTTTGAGATCCTGCTTTCATTTCTTTTGGATATATTCCCAGGAGTGAGATTGCAGGAATTCCTTTCAAAAAAACATTTGAGGGCCTCCCTGGTGGCACAGGAATTAAAGACACTGTACTATTAAGCTGTTGCCAGTTACTGCAGCATGAGTTCAATCCCTGGCCAGGGAGCTTACCCACATGGTGCAGCAGACCTCTCCTGTCTCACCCACTGCCCTCCTCAGCAGTGTATTTCAGTGGCTTTACCCGTTCTGCTCACCACTCTGTCTCTGGTGAGTCCTCACACTTACAGCCTATACCCTGGTTTTTGTATGTATAAATAAACAAATCTTTAAAAAAAAAACAAAACATTTGAAGAATCTCCAAATTGTTTTCCATAGTGTCTGTGCCATTTTACATTCCTATCAACAGCACCTGGTGTTTCATTTCTCCCATGTTCTCACCAAACTCTTCCTATTTTCTGATTTTTAATTTTTGTGTAGAAGAACTGGGGTATAGGTCAGAAGTGCAGGGGATGAGAGGATTCACCAGAGACAGAGTGGGGAGCAGGAAAATTGGACTGACTGAAGTACACTGCTGAGGGGAGCAGTGGGTGAGACAGGAGAGGTCTGCTGCACCAGGTGGGTCAGCTCCCTGGCCAGGGATTGAACTCAGGCCATAGGTGATAGCACTGAGACTTAACCCCTATGTCACCAGGCAAGGCCCTTATTTTCTGTGTTTTGGATAGTGGCCATCTGATGAGTATGAGAAGATATCTGTGCTTGTTTTGATTTGATTTCCCTGATGGTTAGCGATGCTGAACTCCTCATATGCTTGTTGGCCATTTGTATATCTAGGTTGGAGAAATGTCTCTTCACGTCCTTTGCCCATGATAAAAATTGGGTTATTTCTGGTTTTGTTGTTGGTACTGAGTTGTAGGAGTTCTTTATAAATTCTGAATCTCCTTATGTGATGTATTGTTTGAAGTATTTTTCCCCATTTGTAGGTTGCCTTTTACCTCAGTTGATTCCTTCCTTTGCTCTGAGAAGTTTTTAAGTTTAATATAGTCCTACTTGTCTATTTTTGCTTGTGTTACCTGCTTTTGGCATTATATCCAAGAATCCAAGAAATTACTGCTCATGACAATGCAATGAAGATTTCCCCCATGGGTTTTTGTTTTGTTTTTTTGGAGATTTATAGACGCAGGTCTTAGGTTTACATTTTAATTAATTTTAGAGTTAATTTTTGTATACAATATAAAGTAAGGTCAAGTCCATTCTTTTTCAAGTGGATAACTGGTTTTTCCCAGTATCTTTTGTTAAAGAGACTATTCCTTCTCTCCTCTGCTATATATTCTTGGAATGATTATTGAAAATCACCTGACACACGTGAGGTTTTTCTGTGTTCTTCATTTTGTTCCATTGCTCTATATGTAGGTCTGTCTATGTGCCAATTTCATATTGTTTTGATTGATATAGTTGTAAAATCAGGAG